TAATATATTTTCTGTTCATACGTTATTTTTATAGATATAATTTATTCAAGTAAATGCTTTGATTTTAATTAAACAGTACTAATGACATTTACCGGCCTGAATCTATCTAGCTAACTCAGTTTGTTCATGTCTGTCTGTTCATCTATCTATCTATCTATCTATCTATCTATCTATCTATCTATCTATCTATCTCAGTTTACTTCTATCTATAATATGAAATGGATTAAGTCCAACAACGTGGTTTCACAAGACTTGGTCCAAACCGTGCTATTGTTTTCAAGTACTTTTTCTCATATTTTCTACGATTATATATATATATATATATATATATATATATATAATATCGTAGAAAATATGTGCTCACCGGTGGGAAACGAACTTGTAAAATGCGTCATTGTGTATAAGACTCCTTTTGTGTTCATAGATACGTTTTTTTAATTTATAATAATAATAATAACATCACAAATTTTCTTCCTAGAAGTTTGGCCTGTCATCTCTAGATGCAAAGCACTTAGCACAAATCCACGACACCCCTTCTAATTACGGTAAAATTTTGGTTAACAATACATCAGTACTCTTCCAGTCAAACTGCAAAAAAAAAGACGATTAAAAATGTTGCCTATCCTACATATCAAAAGACGGCAACTTATCAATAAAAAGTATTTCCTTATCGGCCCGCACGTGTTGAGATACCTTTCAGTCGTAATGTCAGTTTAATCATGTGACACTGTAATCGCTTCCATCACCATAGCATGTGAACCCACGTTCGTTTCAAACACCGGAAAGTCCACATGAATGTTTCATTGGCCGTCTGTCGACCTCTGCCTTCTTTGCTTGAAAATGGACAACGATAGTCGAAAGTACTCGAAACTTTACACGCAGTTTCGGCAAAATACTTCACAAGTTCCCACTCATATCTCGTGCAGATTTCTCCCCATGCAGCGAACACAATACATTTTTTCTTTTTTTTTTTTTTTCTCCCTGATTGCATGACACCTCATCTGTTTGTATCTTCTGGTACAAATAAAAACTGTGTTTCTTGAAGTCTCTGGTTGAAACTTGGCGGTGGCCGGGGGGCGGTGGCAGGGGGGCAGGTGGCGGGGGGCGGTGGCCGGGGGTGGGGTGTTGGCAACTCGTACTAAACAAAGCGAAGGCAAAACGCAACACCAACAACAGTAACCACAATCCCAAAAGCATTAAATTAAAAAAAATAAAATAAATATCGCAATCGAGAGGGTTGGATCATGTCAAGTGTCTCATGTCTCCATTTTCGCCACAATATGTACCATTTTGCGTTTTGTGTGTGTGTGAGAGAGAGAGAGAGAGAGAAAGAGAGAGAGAGGGGGAGGCAGACAGACAGACAGCAAGAGAGGGGAAATGGGCTTTATTTGTTGTTATCGTTGTTGTTGCTGGACCATTATTTGAAGGGTTGGGGCAACGATTGGGTGTCAGTGTGTGACATAAAGTAGATGCACCTGCAGTGGTTGGGGGTAAATTTTGGCTACGGGTAGAAAGAGGGAAGTTGGGGGAGTTTACGGGTATCAATCAAGAATGGTAGGTGTTTTTGTTGCTTTTTCTTTGTTTCTTTTTTGTTTGTTTTGTTTTTGTTGTTGCTGTTTTTGCTTTATTTTTTTTTGTTTATTTTTTTTTTTTTTTTTTTTTGTTTTGTTGTTTATCTTCCGAGAGTTGGTGGAATGGTAACAGATAGCTTCAGGAAATAAATTGAATGAAAAAAAAATACAGGTGATTTGCTGGGTGGGAAAGGAAAAGCAAGAAAAAAGTGAATGAAAGGTGAGACAAAAAACTTACGACGTACAGTAAAGAAGAAAAAATGAAGAAAGGTCAAAATGAAAAATAGCACATGCTTCAGTGTGCCGATATTGAGGTTAGATTAGGAATATGTATTCGCGTCATACTGTCTTTTTATTCTATGTGCCGTGTCCCTTCAGAGCGTTGTCGGTCATGGCTCTCCACAATTTCCTGTCTTTTGTAGTTCTTACTGAATTTTATCTTTTTGGTATCTCTCCGAAACCTTGTTCCGCCATCTATTTACTCAAGCTCTTTCTTCTTTTTGTGTACCTTCAGAACGTTGACGATCATGGCTCTCCACAATTTCCTGTCTTTTGTAGCTTTTACTGAATTTTGTCTTTTTGGTATCTCTCCGAAACCTTGTTCCGCCATCCATTTACTCAAGCTAATTCTTCCTATTCTATGTGCCGTGTCTCTTCAGAGCGTTGTCGGTCATGGCTCTCCACAGTTTCCTGCTCTTTATAGTTCTTAATGAACGTTATCTTTTTGTTATCTCTCAGAAACTTTGTTCTGCCATCCATTTACTCAAGCTCTTTCTTCTTCTTGTGCACCTTCAGAACGTTGACGATCATGGCTCTCCACAATTTCCTTTCATTTGTAGTTCTTAATGAATGTTACTTTTTGTTATCTCTCCGAAACCTTGTTCTGCCATCCATTTACTCAAGCTCTTTCCTCTTCTTTTATGTGACGTATCCCTCCAGGACGTTGGCGATCATGGCTCTCCACAATTTCCTCTCTTTATTTTAAATTTTAACTGCTTCTTCCTGATGTTAATTATGAATTTCTATTTTGTTTCCAGTTCTTCTAAAACTTGATCCTTGCTCACATGTTCAGTCCATGTATTCTCAGTATCCTTCTGTAGAGCCATATTTCTGTTGCTTCAAGTTTCTTCATAATCTGTAAAGAGATTGTCCAACATCCACTGCCATATAGGAGGACTGATATTACATAACTGCCCTGTACACTTTGTAACTAACGAAATTTTTCTGTTTCCTAATCCTTTGCTTAGGATTTTGATGGGTGCACTATACAACACATAGGATTGGTAAGAAATGACCTTTACAGCACTTTATTGTTAACTGGTTGCCCGTATGTGTGATAGACACATGCGAATACATCATGCTTTTTATTGTTGATATCTCATAGGTTCGATTTTAAAACGGTCTACACATATTTCGTCTCAGTGTTTGTCTATATATGTGAAAATCGCTCTGAAGATGACAATTTGAAATTGTCGAAAGTACTTAGCATGTGTTTTCCATCTGACAACAACTTGAATATAAGGATCTTATTATTGAAGGAGTTGATAGTAAGTTAATGTCTCATTAAGTCTTGTTAGCGAAGTGATTTCACCATGAATCACATTAACATTGCTAATTAATTCTTTGTATAAATTGTTTCTTTATGATATACATATATATATATATATACATGTGTGTGTGTGTGTGTGTGTGTGTGTGTGTGTGTGTGTGTGTGTGTGTGTGTGTGTAAATTACATAGAAGAGAAATTCAAAAAGACCCATATGTAGAGTTATTTCACCCCACAGGAACTAACTTGCAGGATTTATCAAGACCAATGGGTTAGGAAATAAAATAAAAAGGTAACTTAAAAAATTTAAACTTTAAAGAATCAAGAAAGAAGGAGAAAAGAGAAAGATGAGAAAGTAAAAGAAAAGAAAAAATAGGAAAAACGGGAAGGGAGAAAGAATAATTGTTGTGACCAAGTAAATGGTTAAGTATATAACAAAAACCAGGTTTGCATATATATCGTATATTAAACAGTTCACCAGAAGAGTATTACACGACTAATGAGAGTGTATTGAATGAACTAGTGCTTCACTGTTCACTGTTCCCCGAACCTTCTCTCCTACTAAACTTATAGTAGGCCGAAGGACACCACAACAATAATATAACTGAGCAGCAAATCGTCTAGACAAAGCTTAAACCCATTTTTACAGTGGGAGTGGGGTGTGTCAGTATTCAGACACCAGTTAAAATAATCTAGTTTCTATAAGAAAAATTACTTAAAGAAAATTCAAAATTTAAAAATTAGAATAAATTTTTATAATAAAAAACCCTTTTAAGGAAGAGTAATTAAAATGTAACATCTAAAATAATAATATATATAGTATGATAATTAAAATATTAATAAATGAAATAATTATTAAAGACAAGTTATTAAGTAAATTTAATAAAAAATATTGTATATTAAATATAAATTAATAGGTAATAAATATAAGATAGTGAATAAATAAATTTCAAACAATATATATGTGAAATATATGTCAAATATAAATTAATTATTAAATATCAATTAAAAAATAAACCACTTAATAAATGGTCAATCTGAGGGTTCAGATCTTTCTCCTGCAATTCCCAAAATGTTTGGGAAAGAGCAGTTTGATGCGTTAATCGTCAGTTGTAAAAGGAGTGTCTGTGGTTATAAAGGTTTTGTTCCCATTTCCCCGTGGAAATCCCAATGTAAATATGGTGGTTTAACTTATTTTATTATAACAAGAAAGAAAAATGAGTTTTATGATTAAATTTTGCTCTCGTCAAAATTTCCTCCTTTAGCTTTGATTGCTGCAGCATAAATTTTTGTCATTCTTTGCAAAAGTTTCTTAAATTATTAGTTTGGTAATTGATTACATTCTTTTTTTCAATGACTCTATGAGCTCTTTTTTTTTTCAGTCGTTTTTCAAGTTCAGCTCATGCTAATTCTGGTGGTGGCTTTCAAACGAACTACAGTGTATACATATATATATATATATATATATATATATATATATATATATATATATATATAAAAAAAAAAAAATATCAAACACTTAAAATCCCATAGGTAAGATTTTTGTTTTTATAAATATTTAATAATTTTTTAATAATGATATTAAAACTTTTTTTTGCATGTAAATGATGCTATTATATTATATATAATAGCATGCTTTACATGCAAAAATGGCTAAAAATAATGGAAGCCTTATTAATAAAAAAAAAACAACATTTAGTAATATTAACTTTAAACATGGACATAATATCTTGACCGTGTTTTGAAAAATGAAAAAATCTTATAAAACATACATACAACAAACTACTTCTTTCAGTGAAAATATTGAATCCTAGAAAATGGCTAAATGTATAGCCGAAAGCGCTCGGATAAAAACAACATTCGGACAGTTTTTATATAATTTATCATCCGAAAAGAAAAAAGAATTATTAGATCGCATGAGAAATTGTATAAAAAAACTAAATAAAATCACCTTGTCTGTCGTATTCAATGAAATTTGCATATATATATATATATATATATATATATATATATATATATATATGCATAATTTTGTATTTGGGCAGCAATCCCACTTTTATACAAGTTTCATTAAAGATGACTGACAAGGTACTGCGATTAAGTTTCTTTTTTTTTTTTCTTGACAGAAAGTGTTTAAGAATTATCCAAATGTTCTATATATCCGAGCGTTTTCGGCTATTCTTTTTGCCATTATCAAGCCTGATTTTAATTTTGATTTTAGCTGAATGTATGGATTTTTTTTCTTTATGCAGCTAGTGTTATAAGCATCTTTTTTTCAAACACGGTCAGCACATTGTGGCCGTGTTCATAGATGATGTTATTGTGTTGGCTTTTTCTTTTTTTATTATTAGTGCTTCTATTATTTTTAGTCTTTTTTTACATGTGGATGAGGCTATTATCCTTGTATTTTCTACAATTATGTTGCGGATGGACTTTGGTAGTTTTCCACGTGTGTTGAAATGAGTTGAAATTGAACTATGGTCAGATAGGTGTAAAGTGAGTCGTCGAGATAGGCATTGTAGTATTACGCCCAATATAATTATTTATGAGTTTGGTTTGATCAAGAACGCAGTTCCTTAATGGGCATGTGAACTCGTAAATTATATTGGTTCTCTATAATGTATATCTTGTAGGTGTGTTGTTATTGTTGATGATAAGCTTAACTGTTTTACATTTTTAGTGTACATAATTTAATTTTCTTGTTCTGACCGACTGTGATTGTGTATTTCTTTATGTTGTTTCTAAGAGAAAATTCATGTTGCCTATAGTTAAAGGCCTTTATAGAAAATGTTATTGTTTTTATCTGTATGTTAAATATTTCAGAGAAATTCTTTTTTTAGCGCTTGATGTTTTTATTAATTATAAGTCCTAGTCCTAGGAGAATTTAAATCTTCAAATTTACTTGGCTCTGCTTAGTAAAATGAAAAATGCAATAAAACTAAGACATCATTTAATTGCTTGTATGAATAAAATATATTATGGAAATTATCGTCTTGAAAAAAAATGTTCCGATGAATAAAGAATTTTTACAAGAATTGCTTATATTTTTTTATATTTTATCTATAATCATTTCAAATATTTAAATCTTTTAAAATTTTGTATTCAGCCTATCTTTGTTTAAACACTGGCAACAGGTACCTTGGGTTCCCAATACCTACCCTTTTAAACAGCCGCTCAGCCTTACATACACAACAAATGGACGAACTCTCTCCATTCAGTCAGTTATGTTCCATGCGTGATACACGCTTAGGCGATCATGTATCTTTCGATACATGACTGACGAGGTAGATTTTTCCCGTAGTAGGATGCCATTTCTTTCTGCGGTAGACCAGTTACCATCCAAGGTCTGTCCTGTTATTTACCCATAGCTTGGGGGAGGGGGAGAAGTGGATTCATATGTTTCCCATACATTAGCACGTAAATGAATGTAATGGATTCGACTGGAATTCGAACTCGGGTATCCATTACTCCACAGTAACTCCTTCATTAGTAAGTTTTAAAAGTTTTGTTAGGGTCAAGAAATGTTTGCTATTGTTGTCACCGGATTCACTGTTGGAAATGCTGGTGGTAACGATTTTCGAATTGGGGTCAGTGGAGACGGTCAAGAGGAGAGCGTAGAAAGCGTATCAAGAAAACAGTTATCCCAAAAACATTTATTCGAATAGTAAATTGTTTAATGAAAATTAATTGAAATGACAATTATACTAAATGATAATTATTCGAAATACACATGTTTCAAATATGTATGTTGTCTTGCTTTGAGGGTGACAATGCTGATTTACTCGTTAAAAGGTTTCACTATTCTTTTTTAAGTTTTCTATTTACATTACAGTGTTTCTTGGCGCTCTTGATATTTTGACAACCTGCTCTTAGTATTGCAATATGAATTTCTTGCATGTCCTGTTCTCTTTTAAGAACATCTAAGATTTTCCATATTGTGGGATGATGGGATGACACTTGCTGCAACAAAAAGAAGCCCTGTGTCGTCCTTCAAAAGCTTTATTAGTTCGAGATAAATCAGCATTGATTTTCTCAAAGAAGTCGACATTATTTCTTTCTTTTTTATGTCCTTTCAGAACGTAGGCGATCATGGCTCTCCACCCCTTCTATCTCTTGCAGTTCTCAACAAGTTCCTTCCATCTGCGAACTACCACAGACCACGTTCTGTCATCCACTTGTTTAAGCCCGCCATGTATGTCACGCATTGTTTTCCCTTGTCTTTCTTTTCCTCTATTCAACCCATGAGTATCAGATTCTCCAGGCCCTCTTTCTTTTTTTTATGCGCCATGACCTTTCAGGACGTAGGCGATCATGGCTCTCCACCTTCCTCTATCCCTTGCAACTCTCAACAAGTTCCTTCCCTCTGCTTCCTCTCTCATGCCACGTTCTGTCATCCACTTGCTTAAGCCCACCAGGTATGTCACGTGTTGTTTTCCCTTGTCCCCCTTTCACTCTATTCGACCTGTGAATATCAGATTCTCCAGGACCTCCTTCCTCATTATGTGTTCCAGAGACTTCAGCTGCCTCTTCCTGATGTTAAGTATAAGCTTCCTCCTTGTTTACAGCCTCTCTAAGACCTCATCTTTGCTCATACGCTCGGTCCATGATATCCTTAGCATCCATCTGTAGAACCACACCTCCGTCGCCTCGATTCTCTTCTTCATCTTTGAGAAAATCGTCCCGCATTCGCTGCCGTAAAGAATGACAAATGTCACGTAACAGTTCAGTATTCTTTCCTTTGTTACCAAAGATATCCTCCTGCCTCGCAATACTCTGCCCAGCTTTTCGAATGCGTCCTTGACCATCTCAGTGTCGCATTTACCGTCCTCTGTCAGGACGTTTCCCAGATATTTAAACTTCCGCGTCTGCTTGATTCTAGTGTTCCCTACCTTCAAATTGCATTTCGGGGTCATCCTCTTACTGACGATCATACACTCCGTCTTCTTGTATTTCAAACAGGTATTTCAAATAATTATCATTTAGTATAATTGTCTTTTCGATTCATTTTCATTCAAACAATTTACAATTCGAATAATTTTTTTTTTTTAGAACAACAATTATTTATTGTAAGTTTGAACAAAGTAACTATAAACAATTTTTCTATACTCTGCCAGCCGTAATAATGGAGAAAGTATTACCTCGAACCATCGCCAGTGAAAAACGCTGCAAGTGCCACGTCGTTTCGCGAGGCTCGTCCCTTAATCAAGACGCCATCGCGCCAATCCCCCGAAGGAACGCCATCGAAAGAGGGCCAAGAAATCTCCACTGCCACAGGAGTAAAATAAATATCTATCAGCAAGAGAATATTTAACTATTTTTGATCTCTGCGTCTCGAGCGACGGACCCCGGCTCAACCGCGGACCTGATCGAATTATCGGTGGAAAATGTATCCGCACAGGTCGCATCCCAAATCAACGACTTCCTCCATTTTAAAAAGGATAATGATAATGCCATACGGCCGCTTTCCATCGCCATAAATAATTTAAATAAATGTTTTTCGAATAAATGTTTTCGATCAACGTTCACATAATCGTGAAAAGGGTGACGATGGTGATTTTTTGCAGTGGTGGCCGTGGATAAAACTGGTGGGGATCGAATGCGGGATGTGGTGCGGTTCGCAATAATCTTTGATAATTGCGATGATCATTATGACTGCTGTGTATTTGAGAGTGGACATCAAATGCGTGGAATGCATTTCGATCCGGATGCTAGTGATATTCGTCGTGGGGACAACAGATATGGTTGTTATCATCTGATGCCTGTATTAATCATGACTTTCGTTATGGGATCTGTATAAATGGTGTTTAGGATGTAATTCGAGAAAAATGGGTATGGGGTCACTTTCGTGATTGTGGGCTCTACTTGTCATGGTGGGAGTCGAATACATAGAAAAAAGCAGTGGTGGCGTGAATTTCCGTGGTCGTAGCTGTACATGTGAAGGTGGGAGTTGAAATGGCATAAAACGGTACAGGTGGAAACAATATATTTGGTTGTCATCATCAAATATTAATAAGTTTTGCGGTGGGAGACGAATACGTAGCAAACGGGGGTGGTGTTGGCTTTCGTGGTGGAGGCTGTATATGTGACAGTTGGTGCCGAATAACTGGAAGACGGTGGTGGTGATTTTGGTGGTGGAGCCATACCTAAGAAGATGGGTGTCAAATACGTGACGGTGCGTGTTGAATATGTAGAAAACAGTGGCGGGGGTGGTGATTTTGGTGGTGGGGCGCTGTACGTGTGATGGTGGGTGTCGAATATGTAGAAAACAGTGAAACAGTTAAAAAAACCGTGGAAACTGATGGCGATGAACGCTGCAATTATGATGGCGTTTGCGCTTTTATTGATTTTGGTTTGAAGACCCTGAAAAATATTCGTCGTGGGCCTGGAAAGGAAGGAAGGAAGGAAGGAAGGAAGGAAGGAAGGAAGGAAGGAAGGAAAAATTGAAGTTTGATAGAGTTCAAATAAACCGATACAAATTAAGAAGCGAGATGCTGGAAGATAAATTAATAAAAATTGTCTGAGTGAAAGAAAGAAACAAACTAAATTGAACGAATTAAAAAAAGTAAGAAAGAACGAAAGAAAGCAATAACGAAAGAAAGCAACAAATAAAGAAAGAATGAAAGAAGAAAAGAAAGAAAGAAAGAAAGAAGAAAAGAAAGAAAGAATGAAAGAAGAAAAGAAAGAAAGAAAGAAAGAAAGAAGAAAAGAAAGAAAGAAAGAAAGAAGAAAAGAAAGAAAGAAAGAAAGAAAGAAGAAAAGAAAGAAAGAAAGAAAGAAAGAAAAAAAAAAGAAAGAAAGAAAGAAAGAAAATTTAACGTACCAAAGAAAGAAAAGTGAACGATCTAAATAAATCAAAATAATAACTAACACATTAAAATACATCGTTTTTTTTTTTTTTCTTAGATGTGAATGTATGTCCGTGTGTTCGCATTCTTCTACCTGATCCTAAATACTTTCAGACACACACCCATACATATGCACACACGCACACACACGCACAAGCACACACACGCACAAGCACACACACGCTTGCACGCGCGTAAATATCGACCAATACATAATATTCGCAGACCCGTGCACAATTACCAAATATAAAAAACGTACTCAATTATTAGGGGAGATAACTCTAAAATTTGCTAACACTTTATCGAACTTGTAAGAACGTGTAGAGTGACTTCCCTTGCATCATTATCAAGCCCGAAAATCTAAATATGATGGAATATTCACGAAGAAAAATCCAATCATAAAAGAAAACATACTTAGAAGCATAAAAATGGAGCTTGTAACCTTTCTTGCAGAATTTGTGAAGTAGAACTTTGATTTTATATAATTAACGAATTAGACAGCGGAAACATTATTAAAACATAATCTATTAATTGATCAATTACAAAACAAATAATAACCTAATTTTATTAAAATTTATTAATATACGATATCACTTATGAGTGGATAACAACTTAAAATAAAACTTAATTAATTTTTAATTCATCGAGAAAGATAGAATTTACACAGTATTTACAACATATATCAATGTATTAACCTGCAAATACCGAAATGAGTAATAATTGCGTTGTGAACTCGACGAGAAATAACGGATATGAAGCGGAATTTTTAAAAAGAGAGAAAAAATAGGAAAAAAAAATTAAATATTTCTTAAAACTAAAATTTTTTCATAATTCATAATTATCACTTCTTTTATTTCATTTAGAATATATAAAATATTATATAAAATATTTTATAAAACATTTTATAAAATATATTATATTATATAAAATTTTGATTATTTTATTTGTATTTATATGTGAATACCTCTAAAGATCCGTTAAAAAAATAATATTTGTGTCGTGCATAGGTCTAGTAGCGCCCGGGGAGAGATTTGTGAATGGCGCCCCCTACACCAAACAAAATCGCAACATACACTTAGTTTATTTTCATTTGGATAGATTCATTGTTCACAAAGTTTTATCATAAACATTTAGAAGAATGTTTAAATAAAACTTTAGCATTAAATTCGTCAAATTTTATTTATTTATAGCTTATAAATAAGGTTGACAAAATGGCTTCGTTTGTGAAACATTTCTTAACCGTATTTTATTTTTTTAATACTAAAACTACAGAAAGATGAATATACCGATTTAAAAAATTTAATAATTGACAGTTGATAAAATAAATGAAAAAGAATTTCAATTCAGTAGTAGTTAGATAAATTTTCGAGTGAATATTTCTTGTCTAATAATTGTTCTGCAAAATTTGAGAAAGTTTTTTGTGAAATATGGCAACAAAAAGAGAAACTATATTATTGTGCTCTCAAAAAATTAATAACATGCAACGTGAACCGATGCTCAAAAAATCATCATACCGTGATGAAAACATGGTCCAAACGCAATGAAAACAGATTTATCTTCAAAATCTTTGTTATTGCTAAGAGGAAGGATCAAAGGCTTTCTTTTTAATATTCAATTAAATTTTTTACTCCTGTTTAGAACATTAGAAATTTTCATTAAAAATTTTGTTTTCTTTGCATCAGCGAATGTACTACTTTTAGCATAGCAAATTTTAGCCTCTTACTTTTTTTTTTACTTTTTTTTTTGCGGTGACAGACTCATCAATTTAGAAATACTTGCAAAAATCAAATAATTGTCGGATTTTAATTAAATTTTCAGGACTTATTCACAAATGAATAAAATTATTTTTTTTAATTTTTATTAGAAAATTTTCGTAAAAATATTTTTTTTACATGTGTTTCACCCCATACTTAATTTAATGAAAACTTGAGAAATTTTACGTGATAATTTTTACACCCTATATTAGTTAAAAGCAAAATTCTTGGAAGAATTTAAATCACCGATTTTTTTGATTTTTTTTTTGATTTTTTTTCAAAATCGACCCCCGTCATACCGAAAATCTGTTCTGAGTTTCAAAAGAAAAAGAAACACAATAAAACTAAGACATTATTTAATTAGAGAAGCTTTTAATTGCGTTTATGAATAATATATATTAAAGACAATATTGTCTGAAGAAAAAAATCGATGAAAAATTAATATTTACAAGATTTCTTCTTTTTACGATTTTAACTTGAATAATTTATAAAGTTTATAAATCTTATAAAATTCAGTTTCAACGATGTAACTCTTAGGAAATATTGTTATTAAGTAAAACTATATTTACTAATCATATATTGTAAAGCTTATTACAATATGATTACTCCGAATATTTTCTAAAAGAATTTCGCCTATTTTTTTCTTGCATATAAACGTTCTAATTTAAGTAAGCTATTTCATACTTGATAATAGCATTAAAATGTCACATGTTTTAAGGGTTATCCCACCTTACGGAAAAAAAACTCTCATATATATTTTATCAGCTACTAGCAATTCTTCTCCACTGTACTTGACACGTTAAGCTGTCAGCAAATCGATTGATACGTCAGAAAATCAAGACCCCGTGGTTAAGTAATGCTTGTATACAACATTTAATGCTACAACTAAATAATATTTGTTTCAAATCAGATTAATTTAACTTTAAATTTGCTAATTTTTCTCAAATAACGTTTCAGAAATATATATTTTATTTTTGCAAGATTTTTAAAACCAAGAAATAACTTTTGTTCACAAATGAGTCAAAATGGTTGAATTTTATCGATTTTACTGAAAAAAATCGAATTCGATCAATACAATTTCTGTTTGAATCGAAAATTCTAAAATGTGCCGGATTGCCAGCTAAGAACAATACTTAATTTGTACGATGGGCGAGGTGTTGACAATTGTTGATAACGCCCGCCATGAGCGTGTCCGTGGAATCAAGATGAGGAGAATCGGATAAAATTTTAAATGCCATTTAGAGGTAAAAAGGTTAGTTAAGAAATGTTTCTGACACGAACCAAATTACATGAGAGCCAGGTGTCCAGTGTCTGATTTCGGACTGGAAGGAAAAACTGACTTGGCGAATCTCTCTGCAGAGGAGTCAGGCTTGAAAACACGAACTACTTGACTTAACTTTTTTTACAAGATTTTTAAAATCGAGAATTAATTTTTGTTTACAAATGTGTCAAATTTTATCGATGTTACTGAAAAAATCGATTTCAGTCAATATAATTCCTGTTTGAAATACACTACCGAGTGTTTTGATTACTGGGGAGAAATAAAATTGTATCCTTGAGCTTACAATTAAAGCTATTAGGTTGGTGCAAAAATAATGTCGTTTTTTTTACGTTCAACTTCAAAAGATCATAACTCCTTTCATAATAAACTTTATTAATCGAAATAAGAACCATTAGAATCGACACATTTTTGCCAACGAGAAACAAGTTTATTTATCCCATTAGCATAGAAATCCGGAGTTCTGGAAGCGATGAAGTGATTGAAGGCTGATTCGGCATCATCTCGGCTTTTGAAGCATTTTTCGCGCAGGAAGTTGTCGAGATGCTTGAAAAAGTGATAATCGGTGGGCGAGAGGTTCGGTAAATATGGCGGATGAGGTAGAGTCTCGCCGCCCAATTCATTCAGCTTCTGCAGGGTCAGTTGAGCAACATGCGGCCGAGCGTTGTCATGAAGGAGAATTGGTCCCTTCATATTGACCAATCTCGGGCACATACGTTGGAGCTTCTGGTGCATTTCGTCAATTTGTCGGCAGTACTTCTCCGCCGTAATCGTTTCGCCCGGATTCAAGAAGCTGTGATGGATGAGACCGGACGCAGACCACCAAACAGTCACCATAACCTTTTTTGGTGAAATTTCGGCTTCGGGAAGTGTTGTGGAGCTTCTCCGGCATCCAACGGTTGTCGTAGAGGATTCACTTCTCATCACACGTCACAATCCGCTCGAGAAATGGGCCGTTTTTGTTGCGCAGAAGGAGCGTAGAAGACACCTCAAAACGACGACTTTTTTGATTATCGTTCAATTCATGCGGCACCCATTTATCCAACTTTTTTGACTTCCCTATTTGCTTTAAATGGCGAACGACTGTTGAGTGGTCGACCTCGAGTTCAACAGCAACTTCTCGTGTGGTTTTGCGAGGATCGCCTTCAATTAAGGCTTTCAAATGTTCGTTATCAACCGCAGTCGGCCGGCCGCGACCGTCTTCATCTTCTAGGCTCTCGTCACCATTGCGAAATTTCTTGAACCACCGTTGTGCCACACGTTCGTTCGTGGTTCCTGGGCCAAACGCATCATTGATATCACGAGCTGTCTCAGCAGCTTTTCAGCCTAGTTTGAACTGGAACAAGAAAATCGTGCGGATTTGAATTTTGTCCATGCTGTCGAAAAGCCTGCAAAAAATGAATGAAGAGATTGAGAACGGTAATGAATAACACGATTCGATAGAGCGGAAAACGCGCTTCAAAATGATATATAACATGGCTATATATATCAATGAATTAATTCAGAAATCATATATAAATGTAACATATGAGAGAAAACGACATTATTTTTGCACCAACCTAATAAAATGTAAGCTTCAAGAAATTTTTTTACATTTTAAAAAATCAATTTTAAACCGTACGTAACGCGTTTATCAAGATCTTTGTGTCATTCTTAAAAGTGAAGACCAAATGATTTTTTATGCAAATTTTTTTTAATCCCTCTTAGAAACTTCGAAATGTTGCTTAAATATCTTGTTTTTCTGGCGTCAAAGGGTGAAGAGGGTATAAATTAGTATGGAACATTTTAGCGTCTTTTGTCGGTGAAAAACACACTGATTTAGAAATTCGTGCAAAATCAGATAATTGTCAGATTTTAATGAAACTTTCAAATCTTTTCGAAAATGAATGGAATTAGTTTTTAAATGTATCTTTTTTAGAAAATCTCAGCGAAAATAGTTTTTTTTTTTACATCTGTTACACCATTCACATACACATTTGATTTTTTGAAATTTCGAGAAATTCA